AGAACCGCTCTCCATTTCCATTGAGGTCAGTACCTCCTCCTGGTGTGGGGGAATGCAGGATCAGACCCCAGTGTTTATACCAGATTTGGGGTGAGAGAATGGTTTTTCTGGGCTCCTCAGCAAACCCCCTCAGCCCCTGTCCCACAGCACAGACTGGGAGAGCCCTTGCTGAAGAAGGGCACCCACAGGTGCTGCTCAGGGTGCCTGGAGAGGAGCAGCAGGGGCATCCCTGGATGCTCCCCCCAGGACTCCTCCTGTCCAGGTCCCAGTGCCAGCAGATGGCATCCATGAGCCACAGAGGTGGCAACCCCGTCCCCAGAGCCTGGCTGGGACTGCATCCACAGGCGAACAACACAAGAGCCGTGCCTTGTCCCCTCCTTGTCACTCACTTGCTCCAGGCTCGATGTTTCCATTTCCCCTTGCTCATGGCGGGATGCTGGAGGTCAGGGCAAACTTTTCAGGCCATTTCTGTGTTGTGCTGAGGGTGGGGGGGGTGCCAAAGGATGGGCTGTGGATGCTTGATGAATTTTTATTACTTCCCTAATGGTGGAACTGAGGCTGGATTGTTCCTGTCAGCTCTCAGAGCTGCACAGCAGAGGCTCTGCAGGGACATGGGACAGTTCACCAGGCAAAACTCTTGGAGGGCTGTGCCAAACCAGCTGGTTCTCATGTTTGGATCAGAGGGATCCAGTAGCCTGTACAGGTATTCCCTGTAGTCTTGGAACCAAGTTATGGGTCAAGACTCCCTTGGCAGTCCCCTCAGCTGCTGTAGACCTTGGAGAGGATGAAGTGGAGATCCTGCCTTTAGGTGCTCACAGGTTTCCTCTGCAGCCACCTCTGTTTCAGCGTGACCCCACCTAAAAAAGCCACAGCCCTTTTCCATGAGGACACCCCATCATGTGCTCTCTGCACCACTGACCTCATGCCCACTGTCTCCCTAAAAATTCCCTGTCCCCTCTGTTTTCCAAGCTCTTCCTGCACCTCAGGATGTGGCTGCCACCACCAAGTGTCAAGAGTCATTGTGCTGTATGCAGTCACTGTCGCCTTTAAGAGACAGGCTCAGCCTCTTGTTCTCTGGCAAAACTGCCTGCTGTCCCCACCAAAGCCAGCTCTCATGGATGGAGAAGCCATCTCGAGCTCAGCATGACTCAAAGCACATGATCCAGTGTTGGCAGCAGGTCCTTCCCCTGCAGCAGCAGCGTGCCGACAGCACGCTGGAGCGACATATGGCCACGGGCAAGAGGGAGCTGCGATTGCTTTCTCCTGCGAGGGAGCAGGTTGTCATTTGAGTGGAGCACAGACTGTGCTGCAGACACGAGGCAGAGCAGTGGTGGAGAGCAGCTCCTTTTCCTCCTTGCAGTAAGGCAGGAGGGCTGAGAAGTTTCAGCAAGGATGCGGGGGTCCAGCGCAGCGCTCCTGGCAGGGAACAGCGCTCGGCTGGGAGCCCAGCTCCAGCTTGGCAAGCTGGGGGAGGGATGCTGTGGCCCAGGCCTGGCTGTGCTGGCAGCAGGCAGGAACCTGGAGCAGTTCAACTGCTTTTTTTTATGGCTTACAAGTCAAACTGGGGCTCAAGAATGCTATAGGAGTTTCCAGGGGTGGGAGCTGTTTCTCTCCAAGATGCTGGGCTGGGCTGGCTGGCTCTGCTGCTTCTTTCTCCAATTAGCAGAGCCAGGGTGATTTATTTGGGAAGAAAATGTCTTGGTATGCAAACACATTTTTTCCCCCTTTGTTCCTGTCTGTTACCAAGTCTCTCCTGCTCTCTGCTCAGGTCCTGGGGGCCCGGCACCTTCCCAAAAATGGAAGGGGAATCGTTTGTCCTTTCGTGGAGGTGGAGGTGTCTGGTGCTGAGTATGACAACGCCAAGCAGAAAACAGAGATTGTGGGTGAGTGGGGTGGTGAAGGGAAGGGAGAGGGATGCAACAGCACTCCTGATGCTGGTGTGAGCCCTGGGCTCTGCAGCAAAGCCTGGTGCTCAGCTGGGAGCTGCCCTTGTGCTGCCCCCAAGCCCAACATCAGCCATGGGGGCAGTGTGAGGACTCAGTGGGGCTGCCACTGACAGCTCTGTTTTGTGAGCAGCTGACAACGGCCTGAACCCTCTCTGGACCCCGAAGCAGTTCCACTTTCAGGTCAGCAACCCTGACTTTGCCTTCCTCCGCTTTGTGGTCTACGAGGAGGACATGTTCAGCGATGAGAACTTCCTGGCTCAGGCCACCTTCCTGGTGAAAGGCTTGAAGACAGGTGAAGCACTTGGGACAGCAGGGAGGGGTCATGGTGGTTCTCACCCGTTCACACTGTTAGCCAGGGGGATGCTGAGTTTCATGGGAGGGTGTTGTTGGGCCCCAGGCTGGCTCCTGTCCCCATGACAGGTCACATTCCTAGCCAGTCAAAGGAAGGCAGAGCCATTTGCTAACATCCCTTGGGGCCAACTGGCACTTTGAAGGAAATCTGGGGGTTTGAAGGATCACAGAATCATAGACTGCTTTGGATTAGAAGGGACCCTAAAGGTCATCTTGTTTCAGCCCCACTACCCTGGGCAGGGACACCTTCCACTACCCCAGGTGGCTCTGAGCCCTGTCCAACCTGACCTTAGAGACTTCCAGGAATGGGGCAGCCACAGCTGCTATTGGCAGAAGAGAAAAAGGGTTTTGTGGGAGAAGGACCCCTTCAGCTCTGTGCCAGGGCACTGACACCTGACCTGTGCAGCGAGTGACACCAGGGCTGTCTCTGCCGTAGGTTTCCGAGCTGTTCCCCTGAAGAACAACTACAGTGAGAACCTGGAGCTGGCTTCTCTGCTTGTCAAGATAGACATTTTCCCTTGCAAGGTGAGACTGGCTGCACACACGAGAAGGTGACTGCACTGCAGGGCTGAGAGCCAGTGAGCCCAGCCTGGCCCTGCCCCCTGTTCTGCTCTAGTTGGGGCAGTGAGGCTCAGTGGTGCCTGCTCCGAGTGCCTGTGGATGGCTGAATTCCCAGTGCTGCTCCATAGTAATGCCCAGCAGGAAAGCAAGCACTGGGTCTGCCTCCTGCAGCAGTCAGGGTGTTTCAGGCACGGTCCTGCCTGCACTGTGTTTGACTTGCCTGGAAATCCCTTCAGCAAAGCTGAAGGAGGTGGGTTTGCCACAGTTCCTGTCTGCTCCAGGGACATTGAGCTCAGGATCACAGAGCTGGCTGGCCTGGGGCTGTCCCTGCTGGCATAAATGGAGGGCAGGGCTCCTTCTGAGACAGATGGTTCTTTTATTTCTTCATTTAAAACGGTGCTGGTGGGAGCCAGCAATGGCTGTTAGAGCAGCTGCACATTGCAAAACCCAAGCCCTCATGAGCCCTGGACAGCCTGCAGGGCAGCCTGGGCCCTGCACCACAACTGCCCTTACTTCAGGATGTACACTTTGATATCACAAGCCCTCGACTACAGGATTTTTTTCCTCATCCAAGCAGGAAAATGGCGAAATAAACCTCTTCAATGCTTCATCCCTACGGGAACGAGCAGGGGATGGCTCCAGCCAGCTGCTGGCAAGCAGAGGCAGAGAGGGGTCCTTTGAGTTGCGGTACCAGCAGCCTTTTGAGGATTTCCGTGTGTCCCCAGAGCAGCTCGCTGACCACTTCGAGAGCCGGGAGCGAAGGTGAGGCCAGTGCTCCTTCAGCTCTTCCCCTGCAGCACAATTCTCCCAGCAGATGAATGCAGCCTCCCCCTAACCCAAAGTGGAGCTGCAGCCTCGTTTGCTGCCTGGAAACCCTAAATTCGAGCTGCAAGTCGTGCCTGTGCTTGTGGGAGTGTCACTGCTGTGGGAGTAGGGTGGGACACCACAGCTGGTGGCATTATCCCCAGTCATGGGGGACGTGGCTGAGCCCCCACTTCTCTCCAGTGGGCAACTTGAGACCAGCAGAGCATTGTCCTTGGCCATCCCACGGTGAGCTGAGCTGTGTCCCCTGTCTGTGCCCCCTTCCAGGGTACTGCGGAGGACCCGGGTCAACGGGGACAACCGGCTGTAGCCCATCCCGGCGGGCGAAAGCACCTCCAGTGCTTGTGAATCTCACAGCACGCTGTGAACTGGTTTCTATGGAAACGGCACTGCTATGGCCTACTTTCAGGCAGCTTTTCCAGTTTCTCTGCTGAAGTGTGTTCAAGTGGAGAACTAAAAAAAATTAAAAATATTGGAAATAGACCCCACCCCTAACCAACCCCAAGCACCCACCAACCTTCACCACGAAGCCCTTAAGAAGCGCGTCGGTGCGGACAGGCTGCCAGGGGCGAGAGACCAAACTGTCTATAATCACAAGAAGAGACCTAAAAAATCCCTATCCGGCCTCTGCTCTGCCTGTAATCCAATCGTGTGCAGCTGCTGGAGCCTGTTTGCAGCCAGCTCGTGCTGTGTCCAGTCCCAGGGCTCTGGGCCAGGTGTGACTGCAGTGACCACAGCAGCCCCTCTGTCCTGGTGACACCAGATCTGACCTGTATAGCCACTGCCGAAGGGTCCAGTAGTGAAACTCTACATTTACAGGGCCGCTCTAGCTTTAAACGACAATAAAAGTGTCAGTATTACATGTGTGCTGGCTCAGGTGTCTGGTGGTCTGTGCCCTGCAGATCAGGGCAGAGCTGAGGTGCAGCTGTTCCTCAGGGGAGGTCGCACTGCTCCTCCTTCCTCCTGGCTTCAGTGGAGGAAAAATAACCAGGAACAGCCCCAGGTTTTATGCTGTTCACTCAAAAGTGTAAAACAAAGTTATGTGCTCCAGCTGCCCATGCTTTTCTGGGGTAGCCTGGGGACAGAACTCTGGGATGAAGAAGCACCCCTAGGGCAGAGGTGTCTGGACTCAGCATCCTGCTGGAACACTCACTCATGGCTTTACCCCATGGAAAAGTTGTCATTCTTTTAAAATAAACAAGGAGGTTGTGCTGGAGCACTCCCAACTCAGCAGCTGGAAGGCAGGCACAGCCATTCCTGGGCTTAAGGGCACCACCCCGGGCTCTCCCAAACACCAGTACAAGCAGCAGTGGACTCATGTTTGTCTTTTACACTCTTTATTTAGGAACAACCAAAAATGTCTGGTTTCATTTCAACAAACTGTACAAGCAAGCTCTTCCCCTCGCCCACCCTCACATCCACATATACAAAAGGAAGGGAATCTTGCCGTTCACTTCTCAGAAGTGGCATTGTTGCTACAGGGAGTTCTTGCCCTCAGAATAAGAGCAGGTAAAGTCCATAGCACATACAAGCTACCCTAGCCCTAATAATAGCTACAGCCCACAATCACAGGCAGCTTCTTTTTTTGTTTCCTCTTTAAAACCTTTACCATAAGTAAAAACTATTTCCTGTTTCACACGATTGCCAAGGTGACCATTTAAAATTGTGGTCTTAAAAAAAAAACAAAAACAAAAACCAAAGTAACAACCCCCTGGAACCCCCGAAACCTCCCCGGTACAAAGACAGCTTTACACAGCAGAGCTCTCACCCTGCTCCCTCACTGCACCGGCCACCCTTATGAAAGGTCCCGTTGCAGCTACAATTACATTTTCCTTTGGATAAATCCAAGCAAAAATTCCAGGTCATTCAGCACCAGCATGATTTCTAAATAACAATAATTAAAAAAAAAAAAAAGAAAAAAAAAAAGAGACCCCGTTAGGCTGACTTTGTGGTCTGCTTAGAAACAAAGTGATCAACACGCTGTTCCCAAAGTCTCTCTTTTAGTGCAATGTTAGTATGTGCAAGGGGAATCACTGCCACGTACCCATAACACCACCACGAGCCAGATGGGGCAGAGAGAAAGTGCAATTTTAGCTAGAAATTTTCTATGCCATGGATTCCTAGCCCAACCTTCACTAGCACCAGTAAGCAAGAATCCTCCTAACACCACCTCCCATCAGGACAGGGAAAAATGGGCTTTAGTTGTGCCACCAGAATGTGTCAAACATCAGCCAACAGAACACTTGGGCCGTAACAAGAAAACCCAAAATTTAAAGAAAAAAATTCCAAAAAATTCACTGCTTACATAACAGAGCTCCCTTGCTCTGCTTTAAAGTTTTGTGATGCCAATCCAACATTCCTGGCACACACCACTGCCAGTAAAGCACACAGCATAAACTAAATTTCCCAATAAAAAGAACAGGGATAGCCTGCAAGTGCCTTGTTTCCCTCCATGTGTTGTGTTGCCTAATCTTACACTGCTGGTTTTGGGATCAGCTGAAAAGTGACACCAGAGGTTTACAGGTCAGCTGAATCACATCAAGACATTGATTTGAAGAGAACAAAACCAAAATTATCTGGGCAACAGGGGAAAGAAGTTTACAAGCATGTTAAATTCTGTCACCCTGATGAGAATGTGCAGCATCACATTCACTTTGAGCCCAAGTGCTGAAAATAATCTTTTTCTTCTGATTCCCAATGAGCCAGCTTCTGATCAGGTTGCCTCTGTTACATCTGCAAGAGAGGGGCTACAGGTAAAATAACACAACACTTCTGCAGGTAACCAAAATGTGTTGCTTTCCAATTAAAATACAATACCCAAAACCCTAAATGAAAAACCAGCCTATTTCTACCAGCTTCCTTCTGTTGAACTGTCAGGGTACATGTAACAAAAAATAACCCAGCAGGTATCTTCCAGCTCCCTTGTGAGCATCCTCCATCCAAGTGAAGGACTACAGTGTTTCTCTGCCAGCAGCTACTGCTTTTGCTGGTGGCTTCTGGTGACCAACTCAGAGAGGGGACATGAAGTCACACTAAGTACCTTCAAGCACCTGTGCCCATCTTCTCACCACGCTGCAGGCCTGATGTGCAGCATCACTCAGCTCTCAGGCAAGTGGAAATAGCCTGTAGACCACAGTTTGTTTAGTGTTCTGCTAAATACAAAAAAACCCACAAAATTCCAAGGATGCTAACTACAGAGCTGAAAAATAAGGTACCCAAATGAAACGTGGAACAATGTCTAGAAATCTCATGGCAGGGGCTGCTGACATCAGTGAATAAAGAAACTCAGTTCCCTGCACCAGGAGAACCAGCAGCCCTTTCCACGAGCAAGCCAGGCCAGCACAAATCAGGGTTTCGGGTTATTAAGCAATTGGATTGTGCCCTTAATCTAAGCAAGCCTCGGAGACATAAGTAACAAGATTCACATGGATTAAAATTGATGGTTTCTGCTGTGCCTGCCAAGCCCAAGCTAAGGCATAGTGGATGGAGGTGGAGAATTTAATTTCCCTTCCTTACTGATGCTGGCTACATCACCTTGATCTTACACCCCTTTCAAGTCAAAATAGTCATCTTTGATTAGATGATGATAAATATTCACACACTGTGAAGAATTGTGGTGACACTTAAGCCTCTCAACACCACAAGAGCTGCTGTTGGGACTGTAAAGCCACCTCTCGATTTTTCTTTTCAGTTTTGGATGCAAACACTTTTCCAATGTCCTGCACCAAAACCAGAGTCTCTTCGGAGATGGCACCTGTTTCTCCTCCTCAGCAGAGGAACAGAAGACCACAGAGCTAAACCCTCAAAAATCTTCAGCTTATACTTTTATGGAGATTTCAAGTCAACTAAAAAATGCAGATAACAAGGAATGTAGGAGTTAGAAAGGGAACTCGATCATTTTTTGATTTCTTTTTTGTCTCTAAATCTTACCCTCCCCACGCAAAGGCGTTTGCCAGCCCCGTTGCCATGTCCGAGGGGAGTCTGCATGGAACCACTTTTTAAAATTCCTCCGACCCAAAAGAAAGAAAACTCCTGCTGTGCTTGTATGAATGCATGGAAACAAAGCTCAAAAACCTCAGCAGCTTCCAACCCTCAAGGCTGGTTTTTCTGTGTACACCGGGAAATTCTCCCTCTAGCTCACAAGACTTCTTTTCAATTTTTCTGGAAAACTGGCTGAACACAATCCAAGTGAAAAATATTTCAGCTAGTGCATCAAAACATGATTTGAAGGGACCAGTTCATACCATAGTCCTTAAGCATTCCTGTAGATGGAGTGGGGATCACTCTTCCAATCAGCCATAGGCCCTTAAGTGTACACCAAAAATCGCACAGAAAATCACCTTGAATGGGCAAACTACACTTCCAACGTATTTATATAGCAAGTAGTTAGTAAAAGTGTACATTTTTAATGTACATCTTAATGCAATAAAGAATCAATGGCATATTTGAACTGTATATATGTGTAGTTAAATAAACCTGCATGTACATAGACACTACAGAGTAAATTGACCTACCTGTATTTGTTCTCTGAAGGTGACACTGTACATACATCCATATTCTCAGGCTGCACGACTCCCAGATCTGCTTTCAGCTCTAAATAATACAACACCCAGATTCTCCCACCCTCTCTGATATTTTGGGGTGCACAGGATTGCCCTGGGGCTGTCACCACAGGGCAGCTGTCCCTGGTCCCCAAAGAGAGCCATGGGGATGCCACTGGCTGAGCCTTCACCAGCCAAGGTGGGATGGCTGCTGGTCATGCCTCCAACTGTGTCATGACCATCAGCAGTGCTTCCACAGGGCAAATTTAGGGAGCCTGGTGCCACACAGGCTGCTCCAGGTCAGTGCCACCCCTGCTCACAGTGTGGTGGGACAGTTGGTTTGGCTGTGGGATACACAGTGGCCCCATCCAAGGCGTCACCTCACTCTCTGTGGGTGTGGTCACCTCCATCTGGAGCACATGGTCACACCTGGCCACGGTCTCACAGCGTGTGCCAGGGAACCCTGTGACCTCAGGAACAGGCATTCAGCACATCCCACCAGGTGAGGGGAAGCCTCTGCCAAAGCACTGAGCAGCCACAGCCCCTTCCAGCAGCTGAGCAAGGCGGCCTCTTGAAGAGAAGGCAAAGAAAGAATTGCAAAAGCAAGCACAATTAAAGGTAGAAATCAGACACCATCTTTGGAAGAGGTTCTGAAAGAGCTTTTTTGGTTTTAAACCAGATTTTTGTAAATCTCTGGATCCGATCCTTTGGGGTTTGCTACCCACCCTCCTAATAAATATCATTTACCACTAACAATAAAGTCTCCCACATTAAAAAGCTCTCACTAAATAAAAACCTTCTACTGAAAAAGTTTGGCTGACTTGGCTTGGCAAAAAATAAGGAGCTGTGACTACTCTCCATAAATACATCAGCAGATAAACACCAAAAACTATTTAAGTTAAAGGACAATGTTGGCTCCAAAACAAACCAGGAATGAACCAGCCATGAATTAATTCAAACTAGAAATTTAAATACAGTTTCTAACCACTCAAAGGCAGTCAATTTCTGGAATAGCCTTGGAAGAGCAAAAGTGAAGGCAAAACATGGAACCAATTTGGAGCTGGGATTTGATTAGTTTGTGACAGAATCATCTGACACAGCATTTAGCTGGACTATTCAGCTCTAGAGTTTCCCTTCTAGACTTTGATTCCTATTAGAAAAGAATATTTAAAGCAAAAATGTTCAAGCAGTTGCATCGCACAGCAACCACCCAAGACAACACGCATTAAAAATGGACAGGTATCAGGCAGGATAACTGGGAAATTTATTTTGCTCTTTTGCCAGAACTATTGCACATGGCCTGGGGAAAAAAAAAAGGGGAAAAAATAAGAAAAGAATAACAAAAAGGACTGGATCAAACACTTGAAATCACCAGCAGTGCTGTAGGAGCATCTGCCATGCAAGAAGGAAACTTCCCAATGGCAGCAGAGCCGCTGCCTTGGAGACAACAATGACTTGAACCACTCACAGCCACACTGTGACTCTGCATTTGTTCTCTGAAGAACAGACTGTTCTCTCCAAACAATGAAAAGGATTCCAGGTCAGGATGCAAAAATTATTATGTGCTAGTTCTGAGATTAAAGAGAGACTTGGAGATTTAACAGGCTGTTACAGTCAGTCTCCAGGAGCACAGGGGAAAGTGTTCTAGTCAGCAAGGGACAAATGGTACCAAACTCCATCTCCTGGACTGCCCAGGCCTGGGAACCTGCTGCTTATCAGAGAGTATGCAGTGCTCACACTAACCTCATCTGGAGGGATGAGAATCTCACTCAAATTCAAGACTGGCACTTTTCTTCTCAAATCCCTTCCCTTTCATAATACACTCACACTTGTGTGCCCACAAAGCCCTTCACTGCCAGGGCTTAAGGACCAGAAAAGGCAGAGAGGATATATGCAGCCATGCCAACCTTTAGAGAACAAACACCTTAACAGACAGATGAAAAAAAAAAGAAGGAAAAAGAAACAACTACTATGCCATGATAGTCCATATCTAAACAATGACTTTGTTTACACAATGTCTGAGATTTGTTATGCTTGTATAGGCAGCTGTAGGCATCGGTATATGAATATGAAATCTGAAAGTCTGTCACTGGAAAGCAAACAGGAGCATCCTATTTCCTGGGTGCGAGCTCCCAGCTGTCTCCTCAGCTGGGCCACCGAGAGCTCAGCACCGAGCACCCAGTTTGTGCCTGTGCTGTCTCGTGTGCTGTGCTCAAAGGTCTCATGGATGGCAGTGCTTCATCACTACGTCCTGCGCCTCAGGCTTGCATCAGGCCGGCCCATGGGTTTCTTAAAAATCACAAATTTCTTCTCAAGGGTAAGAGCGGATCCTCCGGGGCTGGTGGTTTGAGTTCAGTCTGTTTCTGAAAAAGAACAGAGTTGTCAGAGATGCTCCTGGCCTTGATCCAGGTGGGGTGCTGGGTA